AAAACACAAAAATTCGACGCCAGGCGTTGCGGTCTCCTTGGGTGCGAATCGTCAGCCCAGTGGCTAACATTAGGCCGAAGCCAACAGGTGGACGAAATGGTGGATGTATCTGAAGAAGTAGCTTTGAACGTTTTTGGACACCAAATCGTACATTTTGTAACTTTCCGGGCGTATATTTCACTGTTCGGTTTTTAGATCGATGACAATAACATATTTGTCTTCGCGAAGTGATGCTGGAAATATGGTGGTGGAACTGGAAGAATAGGGTACAATCCCTTTTTTCCATTTTTCGTTTTTTGCTGGAACTGTGTACCTGTCTAGAGGACAACCTCAAAGTTGCAAAAAAGAAACCGGCCAGTGTAATCTTTGAACTGCACGAATGTATTTTGAAAGACATTTAGAAACATTATTTAACGCTAGTCATCGTTGCGCGCTAGGTACCCACCCGCTGGCGTCACTTTTAGTGGTCAACGCCGTTTGGTTTTACGAAAACTGCAACCCAAGCCATCGCTATCCTTGTTCCCCGAGATAACCGGTGTATTATTGGGGTTTTATGACGCACTCAGCTGCTGGTGCTATAAGGCGTCGCCAGCCTCTCACCCCGACGGGAAGACGGGGCACCTTCCTGGGCACCTGGGAATCGGACCCCGTACATGTGGTTTCCCAAGATGTGGAATGGTGAACGCGGGTGCGTTAACCATTACACTAGCGGCACCCGGCGCGCAGGATCAATGCTTTTGCTAGTATTTGTTTCACTTGTTGATTCTGTAAAATAATGAACGCCTTCAGGGAAACATACGATGGCCTTGTGCGTTTGGAACGTAGTTGGACCCAGTTCATTCAACGCTGATGAGACCCCTTATTTCTTTCCGGTAAAAGGGCTCCCTTGAGTACGACACTCCGGGGCACATTGTTATTCCGGTCAGGGGCCGGATGGCCATTCTCTCCCACCGCGGTGTGTTTCTGGCCGTCATTCTGGCGACACCGGGCGGCATTTCCTGCTCGATCCGGAGGCCCTTAGAGGGATTTATCATATCCATTGGTGCGCCCCCTGACGCGGGAGGCCTTTTGACCCACGCAGTTGACCCTGGATCAACGCATGAACCGCCATTAACGCAACAACATCCCTGATCGCCGCAGCTGGTCCAGCAGCGGGCACATAAACTCCAGTTGAGCCCAACGGGCCCATGATGGAATAGGGCTGGAGAGCCCACCGTTCCGTACTGGCAGCCCTAATTAGCACAGGCCAATTCTATTACCTCGATGTGAGCACTCATCATAAGTTCTTATGTTTCCTTCAGTTGTCAGAGGGCCCCGACCAATGCAAGAGGCCCTCTGTCATTCTGTCCCTGTTGAGCTCTGGTTCCCCATCCCTGTTGAGTAAATTCTCTCCTGGCTGATTCGAGACGCCTTATAGGCACAGAATGGCCTTTTAGGCACTGTGGGGTCCTGAACGAAACAGGGGCGCGACTAATCAAAATCGCGGTCCCAGCCTTGTCCCTGCTTGGGAAATGGGCTCCCAGAGCTCAGACCAACACGGGGCCGACTGTTTGTTGCCCTTGATCTCTGGCTTGAATAGAGGAACGCTTTGTCTCAGGGGTCGCTATCGGTGCAAGATTATCATCTTACTGACATGTGAGATCACGGCCTTACAGGCCCTCTGACATTTGAGATCACGGCTCTGCTGCCGGATGTCTTAATGTGACCTACAGCCAGCCCTTAGGACACTTCAGCCATCCCATCGGGCCCTTGATCTTTCGTCTTGAGAGACCCCTCGGCCCCTCTCCGGGTCACCCCAAACACCGCTCCGACTCGGGCGACTTGCCGCCACATGACTCCTGTTCGGCCTGTGGCCCTTAACCGACACAAGAGCCCCTCATTGCGTCAGAGACTCAGAACGTTACAAATCGCAAAACCCAGCTTTATTTATGCTTGGGAAATGGATCTCCAGGGCTCAGGCGGACATGGAGCCGACTATTCGGTGTTCGTGGTCTCTTACCGACGTAGAGACCCACATTGTCTCAGGGATTCCTCAAACGGTGCAAGAGGACCTCTGACTGATAATTCAGGCCACGACCCTACGGGCCGCGATTCTTTATGTGACCTTCAGGCAGTCCTTTGGGCCCTTATGTCATCCCACCGGGCCTTTGATAATCGGTATCGGTGGGTCGCCCGGAGCCTTCTTCGGTCTTCATCAAACACTTCCTTTGGTCGGCTCGGGGCTCTTGCGAGCGCAGGGTCCTCTGTTCGACGCTGTGGACCCCTGACAGATACAAGGTCCTGACCACTGTAAGCCACTGGCCCCGGCTTTATAGCTGATTAGTAAGTGGGTACTCAGGCCTATATCGTCACGGAGCCGACTGTGCGATACGGTAGTACCTGACCGATATATAGGTCCGCGTCGTCTCAGTGGTTCCCCCATCGACACAAAGGGGCCTCTGACCGTTATTTTAAGGTCCATTTTCGCAGGTCGGGACTCCTGAATAAGACGCCGACCAACCCTTCATGCCCTTACACCCTCCAATCGCGCCCTTGATCATCGAACGGTGGGCCCTCTAGGGTCTTCAGGCCTCCTTGAACACTGTCCCTGGCCGACTCGGGGCCCCTTGACAATGCAGAGCTCCTGCTAGAAGTCGTGGGGCACCGAGCAATCTAAATCGCTGGCTCCGACTCTGTCCCTGCTTGGGAAAAGGGCCCTTTGGCCCATGCCGCCACGGAACCGAGTTTGCGTTACTGGTGGTGTCTGACCGAAATATGAATACTTATCGACCCAGTGGGCGCCTGAATGGGACCTCCAGCTGCCCTTCCAGACCTTTTGGGCCCTCAAATCGGGCCCATAATCGTAGGTTGCGAGGGCCGGAAGGGCACCTCGGATCCTAAGAGGGGGCGGGGGGCACGTGCTCCCTGTGCCCCCCCCCCCCTCGGCCTGCGCTACTGGGCTCGGTGCTGATTGGTGGCGACATCTATTCCACCCTCCAGGGTTTAGACAGAGCTTGGCGGGAGGCTTCGCTGATGGCCGTAACGTTCCCGCTTCCGGCGCGGCTCTCCTATCACGACACACTCGACGTACCGCCCTCCACGCGCGAGTACAGTCGTGCGCCGACTGAAAGCCTCCTCAGACGCGGATGACCACACGGCTCACTTCAACTTGTCAAGCTATCGTAACGTGTTTGACAGTGCCCCGTGCAGCGCCAGACGCTCGTGAACCTACTGGGATCTACTTGCTGCTTGATATTTCGAAGGGTAACAGCCTGCTTACACTTGTGCTCGGGCGGGGGATGGGTTTATTTGATACGTATCGTACCACAGTTCTCTAAAATAGTTTCCGACCGGTGTACGCAGCGAAGTAAAACCTTGTGTAGCTGCGGACAACGGAACGTCCAACCTGATGGTGTGCGAACACAAACACACGCATACATATATATATATATATATATATATATATATATATATATATATATATATATATATATGTCAAAGTGTGTGCTGACACACGTCAGCACACACGTCTACACACACACGAACACACACACGTGTGTGCGTGTGTGTGTTCTTTATCAACAACATGCGAGCGGTATTCTATAGACCCTTCAAGGCTGGGACCTGTAGTAGGTCAAAGTCGGGCCATGGTTGGAAGATGAGGCAATTTTTTCGGGAATCTTTCACGCTGGTGCGACAGCGAAAGTCCAAAAAAGACAAAGCAAGACAACCTGAGGTAGCCTCACATACAGGTAATTACAATCAGGATCACAACCGATACACTGCATACACTGACCTTGGATAAGGGCGGGCTGAGATCACAACCAGAAATTGGAATTGTATTTGATTCTATAGACCGTCAGGCATGAAGGCCAGATCAGTGAAAAAGACGGAAATGAGTAATACAGTTGATTCTAATGGCCTCGGGTCAAGTGTGGTCAGGTCTTGGCCAAAACCTAAAGCCAAAGTTTCTCAACTGGAGGTTATTTTGGAGGTAGTTTCTGACGTCCATTCAAGATTCTTTGACCACAAGGGCATCAGCAGTTTTTATTCTGCCTTCATAAAGGTCAGTGGAGGCACCTGACCCAAAATGCCCCTGCTTAAGCTTTTGCCTTAGGAACTTGCGTTTAGATGTCCACGCTGATTTTCAATTGTTTGTTATGCATGCATACAAGTAATATTGATGTTTGTCATTTTGAACGGAAGGTCGAAAAGGTCACTGATCCGACTCGAACAGAGGGGACTTTTTCTATCAGAATACACACGAGCGCGTGGGGCCCAAGGGCACTACGACACTCTGGTATTTCGACCTTATTCAACCCGAAGGTCTTGACCTAGACCCCGTACAAACTTGAATCAGTTTAATAGTAAAACCTTCCCCGTGCATTTGGTCTCTATCTCTCACCTTTTGGAATCCCGGGGATGTCAAATTTGTTCCCTTCCCGAACGCTTTTCGTTTAATCGATCACCCTGGTGCATGTTAAAGGCGTCCTACGGGTAGGGCGCTTCAATCTCAAGACAACTTACTCCGCTCCAAAATGTGTGGCAGTCAACCAGCGGGCGGAAAGGGGCCTCAAACAATACCGAGCATGTTGGTGCGATATATTCATTGGATCCACGACCTCCGAACAGGACCCACGAAATTCTGACTGCATGATGCGCGCTCCAAATAGGCCACCCGCGAGGACGACCGCAACGCACACCTCCGCCCTCGATTTTATCACAGGCATCCACTACCGCTCAACAATGGAATGCTGCTGGTGCCGCCCGAGCGCCCTGCGGCGCGTGTCCGCGCGTGCTCGCCTTCCCAGCGCCTGCCCGCTGAGCACATCGCTGCGTCACAAACCGCGTGCATGAGGCCATCTTCTCAAGTGTAGTCAAAACGAGCAGCCGCGGCGCGCCGCCAGCCGGCATGACACAACAGCGTGCTGCGCGGACCCGGCTCGGTACACTGAGCAATCGACGAGCGGCCTGCGAAGCGGTTCTCTCCATCCCCTTGTCGAGCGCGATATTCCTCCCCCCCCCCCCCCCCCATCTCAGCCGCCGAGCTGCGCGCACCGCGCACGCCGCGGTGTCTGCCGACAGCGGAGCCGACCAACTCTCGGGATTTCAGCCGGAAACGGACGGAGCCGGTCTGGAGGCGAGCCGCCACTCAGAACTTGCAGCCGAGGTACTGGTTCTCCTCGCGCAGGCGCAGCACCTCCGCCTGCAGACTCCGTATGGTGGCGGCCATGCCTTCCATACCCGCCTGGCACGCGGGAGACCACCGCAGGTTAGACCGCACGTGGGCACGGCCGGACAGCCGCCCAGTCCGGCCAACATGACACTGGTCCAAAAGCGTGCACGAAACGACCATTAAAGGTCTGAAAAGGCCCTTGCTGAAACCGAGGTACGTTAACGATCAGCCAAGTTTGATGACGGAACAAACCAAGCATTCGACCGTCAGCATCGTCCATATGACGCAAGAGCCAAATGACATGAAAATACAGTCTCCTCCGCGATTTAAACGCCCTACACAGCGCTCTGCCAGACCTCGTCACACATCTCACCTTGACCTCGTACATGTGCTTGCCGACGCTCCACTGGGTGTTGAAGTTCTCTCGCCGCATGCCCCACCACATGTCGTCGATGCTCTCGTGCAAACTCCTGCGGACACAGCTCCCAGAGTTGAGTTCTCTCTTTGCATGCCCCACCACACGTCGTTCATGCTCTCGTGCAAACTCCTGCGGACGTAACTCCCAGAGTTAAGTTCTCTCGCCGCATGTCCCACCATATGTCGCCGATGCTCTCGTGCAAACTCCTGCGGACACAGCTCCCAGAGTTATGTAACGTGGAAACAAGCACGTAAAGTCGCGGTTGGTTGACCCACGTCTCATCCCAAGCAAGTAAGCACTACCCCAACGCACAACAGGCTCTTCGTGCCAGAGCATCAGACCAGCGACATTTCACAGGATACCAAGGAAACAAGCACGACGCGAACATTATTGTAAAAAACTGCGAATCGCCGCAGTTTACATCCAGTTTGTCGCGGGTAAGGGCGGCCCGCCGATTCCAGTGTTTCTATATGCTGGTGTTTCGGCGCCCATCTCCCGATCACAGATGGCAGCGCCCGCTGATTGGAGAAGCAGCGCTGTCATGACACCGACCGCAACACAGCATTCACGCTGTAAAGAACGATGAATATGCACAACGGGCGCCGCGTTCACCCGTTCGGCGCGCCGCCTGGCCGAGGAGCCACGCCGGCCGGAAGCGCGCGTCCGCCACTCACTCGAGTCTTTCCAGGACGGAGTGCGGCACGGGCTCGGGCGCGCCAGCCGGTTCGGTGGAGAGGGGCTTGCGCGGCTCGGCGCGCGCCAGCGGCTCGGCCGCCGCCAGCTCAGCCAGCAGGTCTCGACTGAGATCGCCGCCACGCGCGCTGTCGCGCCGCGCCGCCGGCCGCTCGGGGCTGGAGGCGTCACCACCGCCGGCACCGTCCGGCCCGCAGCCGTCGGGTCCGGGCCGGCGAGCGTTGGCCGCGTCTCGCTCGGCCGCGCCGCCGTCCGGCTCGCCGTGCCCGAGCTCGTCCCGCAGCTCGTCCGCCGCCTCGGCGGGCGCGACGATGCCCAGCGAGGCATCCGGCCGCAGCGGCGGGAAGAGCGAGCCGTCGGCGGACAGGGTGGCGTCGGCGCGGCCCGGCGCGAGCGCGGGCGCCGCTCCCAGGCTCAGGTCACCCCGCACCGGCGAGAACAGGCTCGAGTCGCGTCCTGGGGGCGCACGCGGCGCCGGTCACGGCCGGCACGCGGCGGCGGTACCGTGGCGGAGGCACACGGTGATTAACAGGGACAGCTCGCAGACGCCAGAGCGAGCCAGCCCTCTACAGGTCCGAGTAGAGGTTCTCCAGAAGCGAGGCACAAAACACGGTACCAGACGGCACATGTGGTGCTGACGGTGTGTTACGTTGCCTGCAACGATAAGCCCAGGGCTTGTCTTGTTAAGGTGGGTCAGGCACAACTTCCAGCTGGACATGTGACTGTCTGCACCACTGACGCGAGAAGAGCAAGCATACGCGCTATAGATTACAGCATAATAATAACATATTACAGCAATAATACAGATTACAGGATACAGAAAGCCTACACTGCAACATAACGCCTAATCCTTCAACAGCTCCTCGCCAACGACCGTCCGGCATCGCTGAGCCGTCGTGGCCGCGGCAGGCTTTGCTGACGCTGCCGACCGCGACGACGTCCGCAAAGCTGACCTGGGGGAGCATGCCGCGAGTCTGGCCGATGGCTCTCACTACGAGGGACGTGACGGCCAGCGTCTTACCGTGCACTGTACCGTTGAGCGTGACGCCGTTAGGCACGGTCGTGGCGGGCGGAGAGGCGGCCGCGTGGCGACTCTCATCCCGGAGAGGAGAGAACAGGGAGCTCTGCTCGGCGGACACCTGGCCATACCTGCAGGCCCGGTCAGGTCGGGTCACAACCCGTGGGAGAACAGGGGGCTCTGCTCGGCGGACACCTGGCCATACCTGCAGGCCCGGTCAGGTCGGGACACTCAGGGGAGAACAGGGGGCTCAGTTTGACGCGTGCGTATTAGCCGGTCTCGTCAGGCCCTGGACCGATTCAGGAGAGAATGACGAAGCCGGCTCAGGCAGCCTTCAGCCGCGCCCGAAGGGGAGGGGGGGGCAGCCGCTCCAGACGATACAGTGATATATGCAGCTGCACTGAGTCGGTGACAAACTCCCCAGTGCGACCTTAACTCAAGACTGGAGACGTTCCATCCTCCCCTGCTCCCACCGGCCTCCCTGCCACCGTCCGCAGGTCCGCCGCCCGGTCAGCACGCACATGGCCATGGTCGGACCGCCGCTGTCGTTAGCCGCGACGGCCGTCGGCTTGGCGCTCTCCACCGGCGTCGAATGGGTGCGAGGTGCCTCCCCATGCCTGGGCACGTGGTTCTGCATCAGCTCGACGGCCGGCAGCGAATGGTTCTGGCCGGAGGGCAGAGCCTTGCTGTCTTCAGCGGTCTGAACGCTGGAGCCCCGGCCTCGAACCTGACAGGGACGTCAGCACGTCAGCAAACTAACGCATGGTGTACATCACGTCATTAGCGCAAACCAAGACAGAAAGCTCGGGTAGGCTGCAGGCAGCGGACATCACCAGGCTTATATAAAGCACACACACAAGCAACCAGCTGAATTCTTAACACCCACCGCTGCTTGGCTCCTGGTACCGAACCGCATGCATGGTCGATCACTGGTGTCCCGCCCCTGCGCTCCGTCGCGGGCGGTGACGCCCTGAGGGCTGGACCCACCTTGGCTGGCGGCTGGAACTGGACGCGCTGCACAGAGCTGCGGTGCGCGGTGAATGAGCGGCTGGGCCGTCCCGGCGCGCGCAGGTCGTACACGCAGACGCGCCCCTGCGACGTGCCCACCGCCAGCTGCACGCCATCGCCGTGGAAGTCGACGGCCGTCAGCGGCGCGTCGCTCACCACCCTCTGGATCACACTGGCCGGGCCGGCGGGTCAGTCACACCCCAGGCCGCCAGCTGTCTAGATAGCAGGCGTCACACAGCTGTCTAGATATACCCGACGATTGTAGCAACGATCTTCAAAGGAAATTTCTCCTGCAGAAAATCTTCCATTTAAATAAGCCGCGACTAATGCCATGCCATGACGTCATATCATGTCATGTCAGGCACCGCGACCTGCCAGCCGGGTCCATATGACGATACAGGCACCACAACCACACAGCCAATGACCGGATCAGCGCACAAGCGGCCAACCCCCACCCGCCACCGGCATACTTCCTGGTCTTGGGGTCGTAGCAGACGAGCCGCTTGTCCAGGCCGACGCTGGCCAGCAGGATGTCGTTGACGGGCGAGAAGGCGAGCCCGGCGGCCGGCGCCACGTGCCCGCTGGTGAACGTGTGCAGCAGGCGGCGCTGGTTCACGTCCCACAGCGACACGTGGCCCGTGTCGAAGGCGGCGCCCAGCACGGCCGGTCGCACCGTGCTGTAGCGCAGGTCGCGTGCGCACTGCGGCTGCGGGCGCGGCGCGACGGGGCGTGAGGCTGCGGCCGCCGGGCGGGGGAGGCGGGCTGGGGCTGGGACTGCCGGGGTAACGGACACGGGGCAGACCAACACGGCCAGCTGGCTGCAGATGAGTGGTGATGATGACTGGGTCGTAAGGACGCAGGTGAGTAACGGGGCAACACGCGCGCAGAAGGTGAGGACGGATACTGCTTTTACAAGAATCAAATACAAACACATTCCAGACACTGCAAGAGTTCTATAGCTGCGGAAGCCAAGCACACGTGCTTTTGAGCGAGTGGCCAGGTGAGGAGTGGCTTATAGGCACCATTGAAGAATCGTCAAGGCGTCAAATATGCTGAAGTTTGCGACATCCCTTCCCGATTGCTCTAAAATCCTTCTTTTTGCTGTAAGTTTTCCTTTTCCCTCGTAATTTTTTTTAGTATCAGCTATATGTGTCCATTGGATAAGAACCATCTGGTGGTAATTGCATAATGACGGAGAAAAACCACCACAAATGTGATATTATCTCCGGTTTTCTCATTTGTTAGGTTGAAGTCAAATTATGGAATTGCAACCCTTTGCTTTTCTGTAATATCACATAATTGCTGAGAAATTTTCCTTGGCTCCAGCCTGTCTAACATCGCCAGCACCTGCAATGCAGCTGTATTGCAACCGAATAAGACGAGCAGATCCAGATAACAAGCACCTTCCAAACAGGCCATTCAAGCGTCAGGGAGCGCCTGACCCCACCACACACACAGCATCACTGCAGCGTAGTCAGTCCGGCTGGTCGCCTCCGACCCACCTCTGAGCGGGCGGCCGGTAGTTCGGTGACGACGCCGCTGGTGACGTTGTGCACCAGCACGTGGCCGGCGCGCGAGGCGGACGCCACGTGCCGGTCGGAGCCGCTGAAGCACACCCGCGTCACGGGCGCCTGGTGACCCTGCGAAAACCGCGGCCGGCGGTCAGCATCGGAACAGGCGAGGTCAGGGGTCGGGTCATATCATGAGAGGTCACGGGAGCCTGGTGACCCTGCGAAAACCGCGGCCAGCAGTCAGCATCGGAGCAGGCGAGGCCGGGAGCCGGGTCATGTCATGAGAGGTCGTGGGCGCCTGGTGACCCTGCAACGACCGCGGCCGACGGTCAGCACCGGAACAGGCGAGGTCAGGCGCTGGGCCATGTCATGACACGAGCGCCTGGTGACCCTGCGACGACCGCGACCGGCGGTCAGCACCGGAACAGGCGAGATCAGGGGCTAGGCTATGTCATGAGAGGTCACAGGTGGTCAGGAGAGGCGACATAATACCTTGCAATGTCAGTGCCTGTAAACTGAAGTCAGTAGTCACGCTAAATGGGGTTAGATCAGGTCAGGTAGCTGAAAACAGGAGGGCACGAAAAATCAGGCACGCTGCTTAGAAATATAACTCAAGATGTATAGATAATTTACATGATCTAACATGCCCCTCAAGATAAGCTGAAAACATGTTTTTCAAATCGTGCCCACCTCGAAAAGCTGGCCACGTGCGTAGACAGTCCATGGAGCATGGACTGGGTACACTGCATGAATGCGGAACGCGAGCGTATCGCTTGCATTTAGCTGGTTTCGCTAGAATCAACTCCCCAATGGAAGGAATCGAAGCACAGACCAAACTGGTGTCATTTGGTCTCTCCGGTGATACGGCTGTTGGAGGTGCAGAAGCGGCAGCAGGTGGGCTTGGGCTGCCGCAGGGTGAGCTACGGATCTCAGGTGACCACACCCGCGCGACAAGCACCATGCCCGCCCTGCGGACAGGTGACTGCCAGCCCCTGTCGCACCTGGTATTGCTTGGCCAGCTTGCCATTCTTGTTGTCCCAGAGGTCGACACCGCCGGAGTGGGACCCCACGCAGATGTAGCGGCTGTTGGAGGTGCAGAAACGGCAGCACGTCGCCTTGGGCTGCGGGAGGGGGGGGGGGAGGGTGCATCTCAGCAGGTGCTCACCAAACCGGGTCAAAGCAGCATTTACAGAGGGGGCTGCGGATAACACGTAAGAAAACCATCACGCGAAAACAGATCAAACCACCTTTTGTTGTAGTTGTTGATAAGTGTTTACGGGCACCGTCCGCAGTGGTCGTTTGACGCCGATTCAGACCACCTATATCATGCCTTAACTCATACACAAAACCGAAAATGTGATTCAATTGGGAAGCTCAACAGATCCAAATCAATCCCTCCTCAAAGTTTCTCTCCAGCCGGGCCAGCCGAAACTGTTGCACAGTGCCTGGTGCTGGGGCACCTGCTCACCAGGTCTGTGGCGGCCGTCAGCTGGCGCGTGCTGTGCGCCGAGACGCCGGTGACGACCAGCTGCGCCTGCCGGCTGACCACGCTGGCCACCATGCTGCCATCCCGGCTCCAGCAGACGTCCGTCACCACGTCATCTGCCGCACAGCCGGCCGCGGAGGGCGTCTCACACCGGCGACCGGCTGCAGACTGAGTGCTGCACTGACACAGAGTCAGAGTGGAACACACTGGCAACAGGCTGCAGACTGAGTGCTGCACTGACACAGAGTCAGAGCAGAATACACATGAAGAGGAATTCAGGAGAGGTGCAAGTGATGTGTATGAACTGCCAGCAGAATCCCACAGCTGTGTTCACCTCAGCATCACATATGACATGTGATATGAACATGGAGAACATGGACAACAGTTTTATTACCAGTTAGCAACAGGCATGCAATGTGCAAATCTAGCAAAGTGAATACCTAAGGTAAGGTAAGCAATCAAGGCTCTGATAACACTTGGTTTAAAACACATTTTGCATATTGGTATAATAGAGCATCAAATATCTGCAATAATGAATTATACCACAATTGACCTCAAATGACTACCAAATGCATAATGCACTTAAAGATACATCATTACAAAGCCATACACAAGTCCTTCAGTTTGTAATCGGCACCTGTGCAAAAATTTCCAGCAAAAAATGAACATTTATATGCATACCATTAGTGTTGTTGGGCTGAAACTGGTGGAGTAATGAATATCCACTGGAGTCCCAGATTTTGATGTTGTCACCACAGGTGACAAGGTTTGGGCTGGTCATTGTAGATCAACCTGGAAAATGCATTAGACATATGCTGCTGACACACTAACTAAATCCATAATTATGAAAGTGTCATTATGTCACCATAAAGCAAGTACTCCCTTATTCCTCAGAAATCACTGCAGCTGCAGTGAACAAGTGTTTCCTGGGCTTTGTCTAGATATGTAGGGAACAGCACATCAAACTTGTAGGTGTCAGTACTGTGACAGGCAGTCTCCATGACACTACCCTGACACAAACCAAAATGAAAAAAAAATTGACCCTTGATATAATATGCAAACAGATGCACAATTCACTTGATGATTGAACTTTTGACTATGTCACTACAGTCAAATATATCCGGAATGTTTCATGTTTGGCAAGTTGCATAGACCCTTATAAGTATGTGGCTCTTACATATTGTTACCAATTGGCACACAGAATGGTCATATCACAGATCCTTACAGATCCTGCACCACTGCCAAGTTCACATGGAAAACTGACAGCCCAACCCAAATATCCCTGGATGTCAGCCTGAGATAATTGGGCAGGAGTTCTAGCGCATGACCAGATTTATGCAAAATTTTACATCACCCAAAACAAGAACACACATGCTTGAATCTGATAACCATCAACAATTCAAAATAAAAAAATTGTCACCTGTAAGAGCCAATCTAGGGGCAGATGCTTGTATCAGTCTTTAATATGCAGTGTAAGCCTAAACTGTACACAATTGCCCCAAAACTGACTGGCTGCACTTTGAGTTGCTTTTATTTGCTATCATAATTAAACTGGTAATTGATAAAATTGGCTAATGCCAGAAGCAACAGATTAGCTAAAAAGGAAGAAAATCCCGTGTTAAATTTTAAAAATAATATCATGTTGCATCCATTGTGACAAATAGCTTAGTTTGTTTCCTATATGCCCACATCCTCACATGACCTAACACTGTCAGCAGACAACACATCTGTCAGTGTTGGACCCTTTATTTGAAGGCCTGAACTGGATTTTTAAAAAACAAGAGAAAGGGGCAAAAAGTACAACACTTCATATAGGTACCCAATGTTCAGATTTTAAACATAAACACTAGTCGCCAGATTGGTAACACATGCAGCACATGGCACAGGTTGATAGGCTCAAGTTGAGAATAAACCCATCCTCACTACTTTCTGAATGTCCTCTGTACAGCAAATAAAACATGTACCACATGGCCTGTCTGTAGCCTGCCATACAATGACAAGTCATCCAGTTTACCTCCCAACCTACCCACAATTTGTCACCCGCCTGCCCAGTCCACAACTGCCTGTACTTAGCCTCCACTCTTATCCAACGAGCTTGAGCCCGCTAAACACGGCACTCCATGTTCACGTACCGAACGCTACACCAGTCACCAGCCACTTCCCCAACCGGCAGCCTTACCTTTCCACAATGCCGCCTTTCCAGTCTCCGGCACCAGCGGCGCCCCCCAGCGCCTTGCCCGTAGCCGTTCCGTTTATGGTGCAGAATCGAACGTCGCGAATATTGTTGATGTAGCTTTTCGCCTTGGACATTCGCTTTGCCCGATCGAAAGTGGCGCGGATCGAAGTTATTTAAATGTGCGCTACGCAATAAATATTCAGCTGCCCAATGGCTTCAATTTTTCTTTAGAAGCAGTATTTATCTTTATTTAAAGCAAACATGTGTCCTTAAAATAATTAAGAAGCATGCATTTCTTGACAAAGATAGCCAGATATTAGAGTATTTCTTATCATGACGTCATCAGTATTGTCACACGCACGTCTCTCGCTGCTGGGACTGCAGACATCTCATTCCTTATTTGGCATGCATGGCGGCAACGGATCCTCGAGAATATCCAGGAGCCCTTTAAAAGGGGAATGTTGTTTAGAATAGATTGGCACTAAAATCCGCGGGATTTAGTGCACATAAATACCCACCAGCACATGCGGGTAACCCGGAGCTCAAGCTTCCGAAACACGGTTGCGCAGAGGTGAGCCTCGTGAATTTCGTCTTGTTCGATGAGAGTAGAAAATCTTCACCATTTTTGGAATCCCAATTCCCATTTCATTGCGAGTTTCTCCTGGGAGACGGCTAGGTCGGTTGGTTAGTGGCCATTGGGTCGAGTATGAACAGCCAACATGTCCGCGAGAATATTTAGTACCAATACTTTGCTAGAGGGAACGGTGCCAGGAACAATTGGTACTAAATACCGCGGAGTGTGGTACGCGTTGATACTAAGCAGTGCAGTCGGGAACCCAGAGCTCAACAGCTGAAATGAGGTTGTTTCAGCAGCGCAGGCGGAAGGGGCGCGGGGGGCACGTGCCTCTTCATTTAAGGTTCCCGCAGCGCCTAAAAGCGCCTATGTGCTGGCAAAGAGCGCAAGTCGTCCAGAAGTATTGCTCGAAAAGGTCTGAAGAACCTGGAGGGCCTACCGGTTCTGACAATCAAGGACCCAGTTGGAAGGTCTATGGGCACGGGGGATGGTTGGAGTCTTTGTCAGGGGCTCCGGCCTACGCAGACCGGCCCTCAAATGACAGAGGGCCCTTTGCGTCGATCGGGGACCCCTCGAATCCATATGGGCCAATCTGCTGGTCAGACACCACCACCACACAGCCAGCTTCTTGTCGGTATGGGCGTCACGCCCAGTATGTCTGGTATGCTCCGATATGTCGGTATGCCCGGGCGGCCTAACGGAATGGACTATCAAAGGTCCGTTTGGAGGACATAAGGGCCCGAAGGACTGGCTGTTGGTCACATAAAGAATCGCGGCCCATGGGATCGTGACCTGAAATATCAGCCTGAGGTCCTCTTGTACCGTTTGAAGAAACCCTGAGACAATGCGGGTGTCTAAGTCAGTCAGAGACTGCGAACACCGAGTAGTCAGCTCCATGCCCCGTCTGAGCCATTGAGACCCATTTCCTAGCAATGTTCTGGGTCCCTGACGCAATAATGAGGGGCTCCTGTGTCGGTTAGGGGCCACGGTGCCGAACAGGGGTCCTGTGGCGGCAAGTGGCCCCGAGCCGGAGCGGTGTTTGAGAGGGCCCGGAGAGGGACCGAAGGGCTTCTCGAGACCAAAGATCAAACGCGCGATGGCATGACTGAGGGATCCGAAGGGCTGGCTGTAGGTCCCATTAAGGACTCCCGCCCATAGGGCCGTGATCTCAAATGTCAGTAAGATGGTCTCTTGCACCGATAGGGACCCTTGGGACAGAGCGTTCCTCTATTTCGACCAGAGATTACGAACAACGAACAGTCGGCTCTGTGCTGGTCTGAGCTCTGGGAGCCCATTTCCCAAGCAGGGACAAGGCCGGACCCGCGATTTACATCGGTCGCGCTCATGTATCGTTCAGGGGTCCACAGTGCCTAACAGGGCGTTCTGTGCCAGCAGTGGGCCTCGAATCGGTCAGGGGAAGGTTTGCTCAACAGGTACGGGGACGGGAGCCCAAATGGTAGCGGGTCTCCTGCGTTGGTCGGGGCCGTTAAGCTCAACTGGAATCTATGAGCCAATTATTTAACCACCTTCGGCTAGCAGGGATGTTGTTGCGTTGATGACGGTTCATGCGGCGATCCGGGGTCAACTGCGGGTCAGAAGGCCTCCCGCATCAGGGAGCGGACTGATGTAATACGATGTATCCTTCTAAGGGCCTCCGGATCGGCCAGGGAATGCGACCCCGTGTCGCTAGAAACACACCGCCGTGGAACAGAATGATCCTCCAGCTCTTGGCCAGGAACAATAATGTGCGCGGTAGTGTACTCAGGGGACCCCTTCACCCGAAATAAGGGGTCTCATCAGTGTTGAATGGATTGGGTCGAAATGACCTCAAAATGCACAAGGCCGTGTTATATTTTACAGAGAACGTTAATTACTTTGCAGAATCGACTAGTGAAACAAATACTATCAAAAGATTGGAGCCCGCGCGCCGGGTGCCGATAGTATAGTGATTCAAAGAAAACTTGACGTCTGGAGGCATTGCTTATGGTCACGAGTGATTTAATGTTTTCTTGATATTGTCATGTATACCAGTGTTGCCTTGTTCACTTTGTTTAGCTCGTACCTCTCGGTTTATTCCAGCGCAATTGTTTGCGGCATAAGCACTGAATACAAAAAACTAGGACCTGAAGCCGTTTTTGATCATATCAAAACATATATTTTCCAATGTATTTGGGTTACCCTCTTCACGTCTCCTCGTAACTAGCAGATTCTTAATTTATCAGAACACAACAGCCGAAATTCTTTGCTGCTCTAACCGGTTTCAAATGACAGAGGTGACCGTCTCGGCCTGAAACTCGGTCGTTTCAAGGTGCAAGTTCGCACGCCTCCATAGGTCCCATGGGTAAAACGGAATGGCCTGATTTGTGCTCAACTCGACGCTATAGATCGCGAACCAAAAGTGCCGCGGGGCTCGGAAAAAGGACAGTTCATATGGACAGATCCTATGGTTGCTCACACTGCACTAGATACGTACGGGGTGCCGATAGTGTAGTGGTTGACGCACCTGCTTTACCATTGCGCGTTTGGGAAACCAGGGATACGGGGTTCGATTCCCCCGCGGTGCCTGCCCTTCCTGCCAGTGTGAGAGGCGGTTGATGTCACATAGCCCCAGCAGCTGAATGCGTTGTAAACCCTTTATGACGACGACGACGCATTATGTGCATGATCCGATCTGGACCAAAGTATTACGTAAAACCCTTCTTTTGCCAGGCTGGTTATGAAAATGTGAGGCGATGGTGGATTACAGCCGACGGCTCTCGAGTTAATTTCGACCAAACTTTAATTTGGCTGTGCTTCAACGAGTTTCTCACCTATATACGAGATTATATATGCTGCCTCGCTTCTTGCTCTTTGTGCCTCATGCTTGCTTTGCCCTATTGGTATCAGACAACGGTGTTGTCTGCGACGTCTCTTGGAGTCTCAATGGAGTTGTTTGCGATGGGGACAAACTTGACGTTTTGGGGTTTAGTTTATTACGATTACCCTTATGGTGCGTTGAACACAGCTGCTTACATATCGGCTCCCTTAAACAAACATTCCTCTGTCCATCCGCAATAAATACACAAGTATACATGCATGCCTATAACGACACAGATAAAGCGTTTCAACAAGGCTCGTATCATAGATTGTGCGCTCATTACTGCTAACCGCAGACGTCACATGACGCATCAATGAAACGTTTCGAAACATCTGCTAGTAGGATAGTCATCGCTTACTAAAGCGCAACGCGATATCGGCGCTCTTAAATACTTAAGCGTGAGCTACAGTGGTACATTCTACGTAAATGTATTGTGCATTGTCGAAGTGCATTTTCCAGTGTTATATTGTACTGCACTGTGCCAATTCGCACTGCGAGTTAAGATCATAGACTTTACCGTGACTGTATGTACTGTCTGTACTGAGCAGCTCTGGAACATGCAGAACCATCCGACACATGTGCAGGTAGTGGGAATGTCACAGAAAATCATGTGCCCAAATTGCCACACTACACTGCTGCGCTGCACTACACTGAGCAGTGCCACACTACACTGCGCGGTGCACTTCTGTCCGTGGCGAAGCTGATCTGGCGTGCTACCTGGACAGGTCTGACCCGCGTACAACCTGAAGGCTTCGCAACTTCGGAGGTTTGCAACACCTGTCGCTTGCTTGACCAGAGACAATATGATGAACGATTTAGTCTTGAGTTTGGTCGTAATTCGCTGGATATCATTGTGCATTTAAAGGTAAGGTCTGAGTAGGTTTTCAGAAACAAAAGTTGCGAAATGGAACGCGCAAAATGTGATTGCGGTCCAGCTGTGGCCAGAAAAATTTGTGTTTAAGTTTATGGAAATATCATGGACCCGTGGAGTATCATGGCTGCATAGAAATATCGCAGTAATTTCATCACTGACGCAAGCGTGTTTACACGGCGATAATGGCTGTGATTTGGGAGAAGCTAGGATAGCTCAGCCCACGGTGCCGATAAAGCACGCCTGCTGGCAGGGTCAACTCACGTAATATCGTAGGTAATCACTAACCGCAGCTATCGCAACCGCTTCGCCAACAGCGCGGGGCGCTATGGACATGCCTTACGTCATTGGTGGTGGTGCGCATCGCCTCCTCTTTTGCTCTGGCGTGATCGTGAGCTGTAGGGACAGCCCAGACCAGCGCACTAATAACAATGGAAACCGCTTACAGCACTGCAAACAAAAGGCACAAGGCAGTGGCGTGCGGCGGCGCACACGGCGCGGTCACGCCACACACGCCACGCTCTCACGCACAGGGCGGCGCTAACGCGGCGTGTTTTTCAACAGATTACATGCATGGTAAAACTGGGGAGCCTGTCTCACGGCCGAGAATTAGTGAATGTTGCTCGTCTTCTCGGCCGTTTGAAGACCACGAGCGCGGCTGTCTTGTTCCGTTTCGTAAAGAATGTGACAGGATAGTTTACCACGATAGGCCGTGACTTCACCAGCCCAGAGCTGCAGTCACGGCTGAATTGTGGTTGTGACGAAATATTCTTTAGCGTGTTTTGTTGTGCCATAACACGTCCACCCTGCTAAGACTGGCACTGCTGCCAGTTCCCAATTGGCAGCCACAAGCTTGTTAGATTGACGCGGCTTCTGGGACACATACAAGATTTCGGTTGTGCTGGACTTTCTGGGAAACCTGGGCTTTTAAGTAATGGCCGTTCGACGTGATAACAAACATTCTGGTTTTTAAATGTTGCGAACGGCAAATAATCTGAATGCTGCGAGGCAGTATTAATACCAGATGCAATCGAAAAGCCTTCTTTGAAATTTAATCGGAAATTCAACGCCAACATGCAGACGAGCAGAGTTTACACACGGCATGCGGCACATGACATTTGACTGATGACTGTTTGTTCAGAGCTCCTTCGGGCTGAGCAGACCACTTGCAAGAGACATGGTTTTAGAAGAGATGCCACAGATGGAATGCTACTGCTGTCCGCGGCAGATCGAGAGATCGAGACGGTCTCAGTCACAGATCGGGAGATCGAGACCGGCTCAAACACAGATCGAGAGCGAGACCGCCTCAGTCACAACACCCAGTGTGCGAGGAAGATGGAAGGGACGCTGTGCCGCGGCTGGCGACATGTTTGATGATGCCGGCTTCCACCATGGGAGAGGGCGCGTTTAGCTAACAGTTGCTGACCACCCTTCCGTACTGTGGTGTGAGCGTGATCTTGGTCCTGGTCGGAATTTTGAAATGGTCCTGATAGTGAGCTGAAATAGGTAATGTACGATATTGACCGTACAGTGAGCTTCACCGTGAACTGGTCTTGCAGTCAGCTCATCAATGATCAATAGCTCTTGCCATCATGATCTTAATTGTGAGCATATCTTTATCGTGGTCCGATAGGGAACTGATCGTAACGGCACTGTATCGGCAGGATGATTGCTCAGGTCAGTGATTGGGGATGATGTTATTCGGCACTCCAGTGGAGCGCAAATATTGAAGTCAGTTGCGACTTTGTTGGTTACAGTGGCCGTTCATGACGCAGGCTTTTGTGCAAAAGCTTTTGGGTGGTGGATGAGGCGTGAATTGTTTGTTTTGTTGTCCCACCCACGGAGCAGATATCTTAGCAAGCCGTACTTCATTCAGATGACAAATCGTCCGTTACTCGGCACCCGTCCAAGTGACCGGCAAAGCAGGAAAATCTCCCACCAGATGCAGTCGGTGCACATTCAGCACCAAAACTGCCAAAAGCAGAAATACTGGCTGTTGATTGGTGGACAGCTTCGTCGTCGCGGCACTGGTTGGCCAGTGGTGGACCTTGACCGCCGTCGCCGCGGGCGACGAGTCGTTTTGTTCAAGTGGATGAACACGGCTGAAAACAAGCGCGGAGGGTCAGGACGCGGCGGTTATGTACGGTCAAAAGGCGGGCACTAACTGTGGAACAATGGTGTGAAGCATTGACGCTGACGTCAGTCCTCAGGCCATGGGAAACGGAGATAAGTGGACCGGGCGGGGGGGGGGGGGGGGGGAGCCCTGAGTTTTCTCAAATATTTCACATTGCCTCGAGGACGTTGTCAGAAGGAACAACCAAAAATGGTCATCCCTCCACTACTTGGAAGATTTCCAGTGCCACTGCTCAGATCCGTCGCCAGTCGTTGCCAAATGCTGTTTTAAAGCGGCATATGCACAGGTCCGCTCATCGTTGAACTACCTGTTTTAGGAAATGCTTGATAATTTGTGTTCATGCAAGCGTGTTAGATATTCCGCGACTGTCCTCATATTTTCAGTTCATGTTTCCGCAACGCTTCGGCCGGTTGCTTTTCCATCGTCGTCAGGTATAAACTGGTCCTGAAAAGCGCCATTTCATGCCTGGCGCGAGGACCCGTACGTAGCGCACCATTAAATGGCTTTGGCAGCCGTTAGCTTCCAAGCCACGATCTCACCATTCGTAGTCTGACGCGCTAACCAAGGAGTCTGATTATGCTGGTCGGAAACACCAGTTACGATAGCAGTAGTCCGCCAATGTTTCTTCATGTGTTTAGTTTTCTTCCCAAAGTTAGCTGTGAAATCTGGCGGCCTACCGTTCTGGACTGCATGGAAAATCCGGTGCTGCACTTTGCCACCTGATATCAGTTTGCGGGATATGACCTGAACCTTGTGCATCACGGTCTTCTGAATCTACTACCCGCATGTAACGAACGCTTATACGAGTGTCATGATATTTTCAAATTCAGGCTGAAATGTCATGTCAAATGTCAAATGAGGTTCAGTCAGCAGCACCCAACACCCAATGCAGCTGTGATAATTTCAAGTAATGCTTACAATGCAGCAATGGCATGATACCTGATGCGACGTGGAGGCGAGCGAACAGATGACATGCATGACGCTTGTACAGTTATATTACATAGATAATGTCACAAACTCCGCTGATGAAGCTCAGCACGAGGCTGCCATAAACATGTTCGTCCCTCCGGGCCTACAGAAGTGCGCGATAGCACAATGATTTTTTGGAGTAAGCGGGGCTTTCAAACGAATACAAAGTTGCATTTTCAAAACAAAATCCAGGGGAGGCCGGATTTTCACAGGACGTGCAAATGTACGTGATCGCGTTGGCAACGCGTAACGCATTTATTTATTTTGGACCACACCTATTCCGCCCTCCAGTGCCTCATCTCCGCGAACCATGCATGCTCGCAGTCCTCACCCGATCCTGTAGTGATCGTACATCCCGTAGAAGCCGTGTTTGACGCCGGCGTCATGCTTCCACGGCGACGAGGCGTCCGCGTGCATGGCACCGTGGTCCCGACGTCCGTACATGTACTGCCGGCTGTACCCGTGCTCCTCATCTGGGGACACAGCGCTGTTGTTAAAGGGAACGTTCCATATGGGTGTGAGGTTTTTAAATGAGCTGGTTATTTTTGAGGTACCTCCCTGTAGTTCACAGCTTTGTCCCTCATAAGACAGAAAATCCTTTTGTTTCTGAGCGAAGCATCCGTGAACTTGCGCATACTATTTCGTGCCACCTTATTTGAAGTGACCCAGAGATGCATGCCGTCATAGAAACATCATAAGAAATTCGCCTTCTCAGTGTTCATACTGTGCTTAAGGTTCATGCAGATATGACCATTGTCTTATGCATGTCTGAAGCACGTCAGCACGAATAATCGCGTCAACGGAGATCAGTCGAATTTCAACAAGCTTAACGCGTCAAGTTCAAGTTACGATCACGAACATCATTTGGTATAGATATTTGGGCAGTTCTGCTAGCCATGACGGAATATACCTAGGAATCGAGTAACTTGAGAATATTCCACATTGATATGGGGATTTCAACCGAAATAGCCACCTTGAAGATCATTCGGTGCAGTTCATAGCACTGTCCTTCTCATGACCTAAACCCCTCTAGTTTCTGAGCTACATGCCCGTGAAAATGTGCAGACTGTTTCGCACAGACTGTTTCGGGATCACCCAGGCATCAATGATGCCATAATAACGTCATACAGATTCTGTCATTCTTTTGGCTATGCGTTGTTCAAGGCCGCATAGCCGCCGCATGTATATATATATATATATATATATATATATATATATATATATATATATATATGTATATATAAACATACTAAAACGGGCACACAAATACGCACACAAACCGATGGCCATTTTTACACGCACAAATAAGCAAGTCATCTAGCGGTGAACTGATTTACTACAAGCGAGTCCGCTTCGGTGTCATTTCTGTTTGGCAGTGACCCTGACACCATAGAAATGTCCCATGACGTAAAAATTCAACGATGACGTATGGAGCAGCACATTTGCTAAAAAGTGATGTTTTGTTATGGCAGGGGTAGGGCTAGGGCAGTTTTTTGTAATTTAAAGGATACCAATGGTTTTACGTAAGTTTTTATCTCATAAGTCATGTTTGCCTCAAAATCTTCAAGTGTGGAGCATTCGCTTTAATAACCGACACATGTACCGCCGGCTGTACAGGTGCTTCTGAGGATGTAACGCTGTTGTTAACACGCGCTCGGGTCGGGGTCAATTTGACCCCGACGAAGGTCTTTTCCAGACTAACTTCCGAACAGTGTGTGGAAATCATGCCAAAAGTTAGTAAAGTTGTAGGAAACTGAAAAGACAATATTTTGGTGCAATACGTTAAGATATACGTTGACAGGTCGTTAGGCTATAGCAGGTCAAAGCCAAGCTATGGCTGTCACGAAAGGCGATTCCTAGGGAATAGTTAAATTTGATGCAAGAACGGAGGGTCAGATGAAATCAGGCAACTTTGAAATTGCTTCACAGAAAATCAGTCCATTGAAATAAGGATTACGAATAATGGCATGGGTCTTGTTTCAGCTAGGAAGGTCAGATCAATGCACAGACGAAACCACGTCATTACTGGAAATCTTGTCGTATGAGATAGTTTGCAATGCTCTTTTCGAGTTCCCCGATCAGAGCGACGTCGAAAGGCATCTTATTTTAACTCCATGAAGGTGAGGGAGGTTACTGCCCTTAAAAGACCCTGGCCAACCTTTCGCTTTGAAGAACATGCTGTCTTAAGTAACTCTTAACAATTATTTTAGACTTCAATATCAAGACTATTTCGAGGGGTTTTACTCATCCTGCCCTTCTGAGGGTCAAATAAGGTCACTGGCATGAACATCAGCAAAGTTTTCCTTAGAACGGAGTCTAGTTTAAAGCTGGTTGCATGAGGAGGTCTGCTGGCACTTCGATACCAATCTGGAGTCTGACCTTATCCGACCTCATGCGACCCAAGAGTCATAACCTACCTCACACAGCCGGTCACCCGGCCGCGTGAGTGCCGTGTGCTGTGTACTGCCGGCTGTGCCGCACTGCTCACCTCGTGGCACGGCCAGTTGTCAAAATACGACACATATACTGCCGGCGGTATCCGTATGCCAGGTGGGGTCAGGATTCAGCTATTCACATGAGGTCCATCAGATGCCGAGTACACCCGTCACTCCTCATTCGGGCACTCGGTACAGTTGCACATAAAAAGGATATCACATGTCGATCGCGCTGGCGCTGTTCAGTTCGAGCTTTGATTGACTTGAGTGAGCCTCAAATCAGCATCCAGCAATGCGGCTGTGGTGGTTTTATGTGCTGCTCACGACTGATCACCAGCGTGTTACCTAATGTAACGTGGGACGAGCGACGAGCAGACACATTTGGAAACCACAGAAACGGTTTAATAGCTGCGTAGGGATGTCCGTCTTTCAGGAGAGTCCAGCAGTTTGGCAGGCAGAGTTTCGCGGTTATATAGCGTCCTCACGCTCATCAATAAATTAGCGGTTTTCGATTCATTCATTTCAATCGCTTCGATTAAAACATATAAGCAGCTTATTTGCTTTGAGTCGATGCGATGCAGTATCGCCGAGACACTGGCATGATGGGATCCGCGCTGTCGCTTTCTGCTTGCGGTGATCAGCCTTTACCTTTCGTATGCTAATCGCAGGAGGCAATTTTACTCACATTGCAATATTGAAGAAACAACACTCCTGATGCTTACAGTCTTATAAAATGCAACTTTTTAACAAAGATATTCCTCGCTTTTGCAAATTTAGGGAGCTGTGGCTATCAGTTGCGAAGATAGATCAGCTTCTACTAAACGTGATGGTTGCGGGGACGAGCCTGACAAGGCCTGCCGCATGGTTATCATGTCTTTTATCGTGTTAGGACGGTTTTCACGTCCGAAATATCATCTGCTCTATGGTTATCATGTAGAGATCTTCAGTCTCATACACGTGCACAAATATTTCCAACGCGTTTACATATGTGCAGTGCACATTTGCTGGTGAGGATCACATCCTCTCCGACAGAGAATGGCGTTTTGAAATTACAGGCGGGGCGAACAGACATATGACTATACCAAGCTCATCAGTTAGTCAGACCAGTCAGAATGACGTTACGAAAAGCCTTCGCTTCGAAACACGCAACCCATCAATGACCTCAGACCGCTGACTTCATAATTAGTATGACCAATCCCTGACGGCTCGACACAATACGGCTGTGGGATATGGACAGGTGATCCACAAATGGCCTCGGTCCACAGATGTTTGCGGGAATCCCCACAAAAGTGCATCAGTGCGGGAGGCACTGATCGGCTGTCTCCCTTCGACTAAGCTTGCTCAGCCTCCCATCTCTGACAGTTTCCACGTCAAGAGAGGCAAGTGCGAGGTAGGGCAAACTTATGTCAGCCAGCCTAAGCCTACCGCTTATTGCCATCCCAGCCGGCGGCGGAAGTCTGACGCGACGCCTACTCTGCAGAGCAGACCAGTAAAATAGCTGGTGTCTCCTTACGTTGCATCTGTTCTATTGCCCCGCATCGCATCTGTGGCGGGATCGAAAAGGCAACGCTGGGCAATGCGCTGGGCATCAAATATGTACACCATGCACACGAGAGGATAGCAGGTGATAATGCTACAATGGAATTGTAAACAATCCTATTAAGGATTCATCAGTCAGCACGTGCCAAGCCCAACCTGGCACCTGTGATTGCAACGCGACTGCTTCCAGCTGTTGCGCAGCCGCGACCCGTGGGGAAACCGCCAGTATAATTGGTGAGAGCTGACTGTCGACTGTTTCTCAGGCTCACCGGCGCCTAATGCGAGGTGTGTGTGTGTGTGTGTGTGTGTGTGGTGTGTGTGTGTGTGTGTGTGTGTGTGTGTGTGTGTGTGTGTGTGTGTGTGTGTGTGTGTGTGTGTGTGTGTGTGTGTGTGTGTGTGTGTGTGTGTGTGTGTGTGGTGTGTGTGTGTGTGTGTGTGTGTGTGTGTATGCGTGTGTGTGTGGCGGGCGGGGGGACACCGTGACCCAGAGGAGGGCTGACCTTTGATTAGTCGGTGACCCTGCGGATGTGCCGTCACCTGACGGCTGAGAGTGACGGCGAGCATCAGCAGGGCGGCTCGCCGGCCGCAGGCCTGCAACACAACCAGTGTCTGACGCGGTGACAAGGAGCAGGGCCTAGACTCCGACCCGTAGACGGGAGATGGAGCCAGGGTCTGACCGGCAGAAGGCTGACAGAGCCAGGGTCTGACCCGCGGTCAAGTCTTATGAGCAATCAAAGCGGGAGGTTGGTCGAACAATTCGGGAACAAAGTAAGAGTCTGGCCTGCAGCCCGGGAACAGAGTGATCAGACTGCCCTGATCAGATTCAGAGCCGTGCCCACCTTACCAGGATCCATGTTGTGACTCTACCCAGGGCTAGAGTCACACGTAAATCACTCAGGTCACGTCTAGGTATGCGTGCTGGGGGGGGGGGGGCGGGGAGGCATCATAACACCTCCAAAACGTTCAGAGGGCAGTTACTGGGACAGCAGCCGAGTCAGGCCGTGAATTCCGAAAATCCCGCGCCCGGCCAAGGCCAAAGTCATAGACACACGCACGCCACTGCAAAAACCCAAGCCAGACTGGAGTGAGAACGCTGCACCACTGGCCCACGAACGCCGCCCGGCAGCAGAATGGCCCTGGCATTGGTAGGCCAAGGTTCGCGATCAGGAAATCAGTGAAGTGACGTCAATGCTACCCGTCCGATTTATGTGATACCGTGACAAAGCTGTTTGGGTGCCATCTGACAACAGATCACGTATGTTCGTGAAGCACCGCATTTGGCATGGTCGCAACTGGAAGGCCGGTGCCTGGTGTGGGTCGAGCAGCCATGACAAGGTCAGCGATTGTGAACGAAAAGAGCGTAGGTGGGCACTATGTAACTGTGATAATGAATCGAGTTGAGATCACATCGTGCGATGCAAATTAATGCAATGAGTGCACTACCGTTGAGGATGAAAAGTCATGGCATACCCGCGTCCACAAACTCTGAAGTGAACAAACCAGTTTCCGCGTGCCACTGCGGGGACGTAATGCATACACGCACCTGCACGCTTTACGACGTTTCGCATGCAGGTACTATTTCTAAGGCCCAGTCAAGCACTGTGAGACGCGACAATCATTTTACACACGATAAACAATCGGTTCGAGTAGCAAGATGGCAACAATGTACGCCGCACCTCAAGCTCAGGAGAACCAAGTGCATGCCATCGGTCGGACGCGCCGCTATGCATGTAAACAATACAGGACCCAGCCGTGATGAACACTAATGCCTTGATCCCACGGTGCTCGCACGGCCCTCGGGACGCCTGTTTGACCGGCAGCGGGAGGACCAACTCCAAGCTACCACTGCCGCGCACGTTGTGAACGGGGCAGCCACATGACATGATTTGGGACGGAACGGAACACAACCGATGTGTTCCCAGCAAGTGATGGGTGCGTAAATAACAGTAAATATGTGTTTAGCTATACAGACCGCAGGCAAAACCTGAAGGTGGGGGGGGGGGGGGGGGCGGCTTTGTTCTTTGAGCCCGCCCCTAGGGATAGAGAAAGGGCCGGTCTGCAGAACACCGCGCCCCTCACCTTGGGAGAGTCCGCCATCATGTCGCAGCACCATCACCGAGACGACCGCTGCACCGCTACTGAGCGCGCCCGGTGGTGGCGCGGCCGCGCTCGGAGCCCGACCGTGTTCCCACGTGGCGCACGTGTCTGTGGTGCCGCGCCACCGCCGTGACCCACCCGCTCTGGCCTAGTTTCCCGCGGCGGTAGATGCGGCTCCGCACGGAGGCCCTGACCCCTCACCTCCGGTCGGGGCTCCGCCAATCGGCCGGGCTCGGCCCGAGGCGCTGCAGGGGGGGGGGGGGGGGGAGCGGCCACCTGCGTCAGCGAGGCGCCATCGCCGTGGTGATGCTGGGCCTCAAGGCTGCGGTGTCGCTTGTACGTTACGAGGGTCGGCGGCGCAGGAAGTGCGGCATGTGCAGCATCAAGTACGTTTCAAATGCGGTGTGAACTTGAACTATCCAAGGTTCGCGGGAAAATAAAGCCTTAATGCCCAAGGAGCCCACGAACCTTCATTCTTGTTTCCTCGTGCTAATACCATGTCAGGCTGCCTGATGGCGAAGAAGGGCAACCATGCTCTCACTGGCGTGGGTGTGGATTTGCACTATTTTGGGTGGGTGCTGGCCCTGTCAATGTTCGGTTTGGCCGCTTCAAAGCTGATGTTGTCCCTGTCCAGCATATTTGTACTTTGCGCCAAATCCGAGATTAGCCTCTTCAGCGCTTAATTTATCACTCCCTAACATATTAAAGCCAAAAACACGCAGAGCCTTAAACGTGAGAAATAACAATAGTTCGATCTTAAAAGGCCATTGAGGCTCTATATGTACCACATAGAAGAGACAAACAAAAACAGGCCAAGTTTGATTGGATCCACGTGCATTAAAGTGGATCAAAGAGACTTGCTAATGTTCATGGTATGAGGGATAAGGGTATTGTCTGTACATCACACAAATCATCGTCAGCATTTTTACCTTTCCGTTTTGAGCTCACGCGCTCGCACTCACATGCATCGCGGCTGGTGCTCGCCTACACCTTGACGTCAGACGTTGCAGTCTCCACTGGCGGTGAAGCGTGGGCTACCGCATACATCAGGAGACAAGAGGCGGCACAGAGAAAACGGCGATTCGCATAGACTCAGGAAAGACTGGGAGGTCTGTTTTATTGATTCAATTTTTAGACCGATCCTCTGGCCGAATAATCCGTCACGCGCAGGCCGGTACCTGCGGTAACAAAACAACCGAAACTCTACCATCACGTCAATGCTGACAAGCGAATCTGAAGGAGCGCATGTCTTAACCTTAACTTATGTCATACCGGTCGTTAATGGTATGTCTACTACCAGCTTTAAACAGCCAGAATGAATATTTAATTATATATATATATATATATATATATATAGTTGTGAATCATATATATATATATATATATATATATATATATATATATATATATATATATACACATATATATATATATATATGTATATGTATATATATATATATATATATATATATATATATATATATATATATGCATATATATATATATATATATATATATATATAACAATGAATAACCATACCAATGTATACGACCCAGAGCAGCCGGTGCGGCGAGTGTTTACTGTGCAAAACATTCGGGCGTTGCACAGAAGCCAGCACCGCAACATAGTCATTAAGTCGAGGCCGGTTTGATCCTGCCGACTTCCCACTGCGGTCGGCTCAGGCTTCAACATCCTAAGCGTTCACAGCAAAGCAGTTCATCGGGCTTCATGGCGCTAAAACAGCGCGTGAACTTCCAGTTTGTCATTTCCAGTGTGCGAGCAGTTTAATGTCCGGAAGCTTACAGGCAGATGGTGTTCAATGATGACAATGATGTAAAACACCCATAACAAATTGCGATTTGCATTATATCGAAGTGAGGTACTGCGCCCTTCTTGTTTGCTGTTTTGGAAACCAGAAACATTCAGGCGGTAATCAGCGCCGACCAGGAAAGAAATGCAACTAATGGGAGCCATCCTTCCGGTGAAAGCCCGCGTTGTGATTTACTTCCGTCTGTAAGCGGCGCACGCCCTCCCTGCCAGGGTGACAGACAGACGACGCCGTAAGCAGGAGCAAGAGGAGAGGGGGGGGGGGGGGGGGGGGGGAGGGACAGGGCAGGAGGCGCTTGCCCACCAACTTTTAGACTGAGGAGGCGATGGCGCTCCCCAACTTTGACGGGATTACTTTAAAGGCTTTCATGCGTAAAATCGAGCTATTTTTTAAAGAACGCACAGAAAATGGGAATCAGCATAGAATTACGTCAAGAAAAAATCAGCAAACCGTCTGCTGTTTCCGTATTCGTCAATTTTCCTTCATATAAATGTCTATTTGAAGCGAGTGTTTCCCATTTATATGGGGTTTTGAACAAACAAAAAAGCGGGGCGAGTATTTCAAAATCACCCTGGCATTCGTGACGTCATGAAATCACCATTCAAATCCTGCCATCCCATGCGCCATTCCATAGGCCAGGAAAAATATAATTGGCGATGCGTTCTTATCTGGCGTTTGTGAGCGCGACTTCCAAAAAAGGGGCCGCCAATTGACCCTCAATCAATGTTAGGCAAGGTACGACGACGTTATGAAGCCATGACGCATTGAGCATCATGTTTGCTAACCAGAGAATTGTGCTGTCTAGAGCAGTCTTTTCAACTTAAAAAGTAACTAGTTATAAGCTAGCTTGTTTTTCACATATGGTGCTTGCTTCAATGTCTTCAAATGGTAATCACTCCCTTAAGTGACATAGACAACGCTGCGCCTTTTGGGTAGGAATTGGTTGCTTGCGGTTCGTCATGAAAATGTCATGTTGTCAACGACGAACACAAGCATATGCATAAGCATCTCCTTCTGCCACTTGCTCTGGGACCGATCCAGGATGCTATTTACCCGCTCCCGGCCGGAAGGATGAAGTTGACTTTCCCCTACGATTTGACCGATCAAAGATAAAAAAGGAACGCTGGAAATAGCACAACATTTTTACAGCCGATGTATCTTTTCACTTTAAATTATTTGTGCGAATTTGGGGTTTGATCTGTCAAGATTAGTGACCTGGGTTACGTCAACGAGGTCAGCCCCAAAAAGTTTGACCACACATAATTTTTTGGTGGGTCATTTGCCATCTTTCAAACTTGTTGTAGTAACGAAGCATGATGGCACCTACAGTTTGCATATTTTATATTGTTTGAAATTGCGAGATCAGTGACTTAAATCAGGTCGATTTTGCCACTTCTTGGAAATAATGTCACCGCGTACGGGCTTTATGCAAGTTTGGTGTTTGTGTGAGGAAAAGAGTACTAACGTACCTGCACAACCATCACATAACCATAGACCACATGAGCTTCGCCTTGGTCATAGCCTATTTCTATGGTTACCTTCTGCAAAGCGTATGCTGTGCTCAAAATAGACAGTTTTCACAGGCAAATTAATACGCAGCATTCGCATACTGCACTGACAGCATGTGATATCATGCTAGTGCATGCCGAGGTCACAGTAAGACACGTGAGGACATTGAAGGTCATGTTTGCTCATCCAAAGTCAATGAAATGTGTTGCCAGCAGCGGAGAGGGCAGATGAACGAGTGCGATGCGCGTAGCCACCTCCTTATTGTGTTTGTGAAGCTCATGACGCAATATTTCATGCACCAGCGTACCTGTTCTCAGATTGTTGCACATACATTGCCAAGCGCCGAAGTGACTTTGCATAATGTAAACAGCAGCTGTGCGATCTCGAGTACCTGCAGATGCACAATACACTATTTCAACCACAACCAAATTGTAATGGTCACATAGACCCGGTTAGCACTTGAAGCTCTTTCGTTTTGATAGTCGATGAGTTTAATCTAAGTTGACCTCAGACGACACCTAGGTCAGCCTCAAATGGTATTTTCGCGTCTGGAATACGCTTTCCCCACTACCGCACCTCACAAAATGGTTAGTCGGAAGCACATTGCGGAGACAAGTATGGTTCTTGGAAGCTACTGGCAGACCAATTAGCAGTAACTTTTGCACAAATCCTGACCATGACTTGTGTAAGCCCAGGTGACATCGCATGATACACATAATGAGATGTTGGTGGCGACGGCCGAAAGGGGCGAAGGCAGCTAAAGTTTTCGACTTTATGCTATATATTGTGCATGAGTAAATTATGCTGTTCCCGTGTCTCGCCTCCAGCTTACTGGTACGCACGCTACGTCCAGTTACTTCTGTATTTGACACTCGTCACAAGCACTTGTCACAGTACGTCCCGCCTGCACGTCCGTCCTTGCGCCGGTGGCTTCAGAACCTTCTCGTTACTAACTACCTACCTCCCCTGGCACCCGCGGCCACGCCCTCGCACGGGGGCCTGGGGAAGGAGGAGGGAATGCGAGCGTCTCTAAGCGGCGCTCGCCAAACTACGCAAACATTTACTGGCTAGCACATGGGTGTTCTCTGACACCTTACACTACACTCTTCTTAAATAAGAATGCCCTCATAGTTGAATCATTCAAATCATGCCATAATGAACAATCCATGGCATAATGAACACATCCCAAGAACCTAACATAATGCGCACAGTAGAGAGGCCAATTAAGTGATATCTGCTACGTCATTACAACTTACCTAAATAACATGTTATCAAAAACAATACAAATACACCATAAATCATGTTTGTGCATCCAGCTATCGCAGTCATGGGCTAAATCGATCTGAAGGCCGCCTGACTCGGGCGCTCCGTTGTTCGCGGTGACCGTTCGAAGACGGTTGCCCTGCGGACATTGGGATCTGGGACCTGGACGCACTAAAATGAGGACTCGAACTTGGTGGTGATTCTTTGGTTCGCGTCAGGTCACGGAGGAACAGTGGTGACGTGGGCCGTGGGATGCGTGACCTGCGCTTCGAGGTAGGGCCGGGGGTCTGTTCCGCTGCTGTCGCTGGCTCGTCAGACGGTTCAGCCGCGGCCTGGGCTGGTGTGGGATTCGGAGCTTCGGCCCCCGCCAGCTGATTCGCTGCCGCGGCTTGGGCTGGAGCGAAACTCCCTGGCCTCCTCAGGCGGACGCCCAGCCACGTTGGCCCCTGCGTCACTGGCAGACACAATAGTGGTACTGCTGGCCCCGGTACAGCTGTCTG